CTATCAATTGCCTCAGACCTCAACCTCTGGCAACGCTCCTCTGACTTCTGGGTCCTTGCCTGTTTAACATGGCAAACCAAACCAGTCGGTTAACCCAAACCGAACTAGTCGATTAAACTAACCAACCAAACTAATCTGATTAACCAAACCGAACCAACCCAAACTGGTTAACCAAACCAATTGCAGTTTTCTCTAAACCGGATTAGGATTCCTGAAAACAGAAACAACCAGCTGACTTCGAAAACACACTGAAAATGGAGCGTACCTCGGAATCATGATCGGAAACGTGATCTGGAATAGTGAGACCAAGAGCTTTCTAAAGCTATATAGATCGCCTCCTAATTCCTTCTGGTTCGACGGGAAAACACCCACGAAGTGGACTATCGCAGATCCAATTTTGCACGAACCACTCTCGGGAAAACAATCATAACTCTTAGAATACTAATCCAATTTACAAACTGAGTTCTCCCGAAGCTAAATAAGAGAGTGGAGAACTTACCCTAGAAGTTTCGCTCCAATCCGAACTGATTAGCCTGTCCGTTCCTCAATTCTTCTAGAACGACCAGAACTGTCTTCATCTCCTTAATAGACACGGCGGTTCATCTCCTTTCCTTTTATTTTCTTTTCCAATTTCTCAGCCTTTTCATGTTATCTCTGCAGAAAACGGAGGCTGCTCCTTTTTAAACACAAGCCATAAGGTTCCCATAACCTAAACCAGCCAAACCAGTGATTAAATCGAACCAACCGGTTCAAATCAACCTTCCAAAATTCTCAATTTTGGTTCACGGGCATTACAAAAATAGTATCGTTCAGTTTTGTGATACTATTTAATTGATGCAATACTCATATTTTTTTGTAGTGACACGTCTATTATATAGTTGTTCTCAAGTGAGAGACAAGAGGAGACTTGCGTAAAACAAGTCCAAACAAGAAAGTTTCTTGTGGTACAGCAGTGGTGTCTTCCTTTGGATTTAGTCTACCGAGACATGTGAACGCTTCTAAACTGTTAACTAACGAGATAGTCTGGTGAGGCAATTTCCAGTCTAGAGAAAACTATTTCTGATTCTGGCAACCAATCTGTTTATAACTATATAGCTGCAGTTACAATCCAACCAATCACCCACTATATTTTGTTACAGCAACCAATTTGTATATAAATATTGTAGGTAAGGTAACACAAATCATTTATAACAAATTGTGT